ACCATCCTCACAGTTTTTATTCCCCTCATCATCATTGTTTCTGTTTTCTGAGCCTGTTTTGACAGGGTTTACCTTGGCTAGAGATGATAAATTTGTGTTTAGGTTTGATTTATGTGTGTTTTAAGATGGGATGGGCTACAAAATATTGGGAAGTAGCTTTCTACTATGTATAAACAACAGTAAGTAACAACAGTGGAGAACTTAGTATTAAGTATTAAACTTAAGATAGAAACCTTTGTTATATAACCAATAATTTAAGCATTTTGCAGTTGTTTATCAATGCTACACTCAGCTTAATTTTACAACTGAAGCAACATTATGCTTATCAACTTTAACATTACAGAAATCATAATTAATATGGACATAAACCTTTTTATTTTTAAAGGTTTAAGTTATCTAAATCATCAGAGTGTTAATAATCTCTAGTCAACACTGAATACCACTGTACCCAAATAATATAATATACTTCTTATGTTTTATAATAATACAATAAAACAATATTAAAAAGGGGGGAAGTTTTGATTTATTTTATGTGTATTTTAAGGTGGGGTGGGCTACAGAATTTTGGGAAGTAGCTACCAGTTGTTTTGTGGAGGATGGACTAATCCAATATAAATACATGATTTATGACAGTGAGCAGTTCCAAATCATTTGGACGTGAGATTAAAATTCTTCAAATAGTTTGCAAAGCTCAAGCTGTAGACTCCTTGTTCTCAGCTGCCATCAAGATGACCTTCTCTGAAAATGGCAAAGTACAACGTTGTTGCCCTAAAATGATTTAATTTTATCTCCCTGCCTCTAAAAACAGAGGATCTGCTGCTGGTTTTAGAGTTTTCCTTTTCTGAAAAAATGGGAGTGTTTGAGACAGCTCTTCAGAAGGAATTAGCTGATAAAAAGTTTTGCCAGCCTCTTTGCCCACACTTCCTTGATGGAGGAAAACAAGACCTCAGAGGAAGAAACCCCAATATCTCCAAGGCTCCTTACTTGGTTCTTTAGACATGATTCTTACTCCCCTCAGATGAGGAGCATTTAAAAATGGCTCTCCCTGCTGATTTCTCCGCAGATGCACACGGTCTAGATTCCAGCCGATATGCGATTATTGGAGGGGATCTTCGGGACCTGCCAAGACTAGAGGAAAAACTGAAGAAATGCCACATGGATCCAGAGTAAGATGGGAATTGGAAGTCCCCGCTGCTGTTTTTAAGGATCCCAGCTCTGGTCAACATGGGTGCAGTGCAATGCTGTGTTCAGTGTTGCACCCTTCCCAACCTGCTTCCTTCTAGACGGATAAGGACTGCAGCTTCAGGGCTTCTCAGTCTTCCTGACCTTCTTGGAGTTGTAATCCGTGCACATCGGGAGGGTTGCAGGCTGTGACGTTTCCTTGAACTTTGCTTAGAATCAGAATCCCTGGTGCTAATTCCCATGCCCGGAATTCTCAGCGGTGCTCATGCTGGCTGGGGATTCTGAAGCTATCAGGCCCACAGCTGGGGGTCAGTGGGGCTTCTAAGAAGTGTCCAGTGGTATTCCAATGGGCAGTTCGGCGCCCGTCCCACAGGCTGACACAGGGCAAGTTGGGACAGGATGCAGACATTGTGGAGCTGCATCCACCAACCAAGACCTTTCATCCCACTTCTTCCACTTGCCCACAGAGCTTCCCTGTGTGGGACTTCTTTTGCTTCTAGCAGCCTTTCCCCCCATTTATTTATTTAAATTTACATAGCTGCCCGTCTGACTTACGTGACTCTTCAGTTACCAGTATTTAAAAGTAGCCCAAGAGTAAAAAGGAGAGTGGTTAGAAGCGTAGCCTCTGGGAAGAAGGCAGAGGTGGCTGCCTGAGCCTCTGTCTTCTTGCTGCTCAGGATACGGCGCCCTTAGTGCTGCCTTCCTTTATCTGAGGTGCCACAAGGTTCAGTCCGAGGCTTTGGGTGAATCGGTAGTGGGAAAGGGTATCAAATGTGCCATTCCAGTTGAATACTATGAAAACAGGCACTTTAACAGTGCAGCCGGTGACTCTGGGCTGTAGGCCTCTTACATTCTGCTGGCCTGTGAAGATGTTTGACCTGGTGAATCAGTGGGGGTGTCACAGTCTGTTGTCCAAAGAAAGCATTTTCCTGGAATGTAGGAAGAATTGTGTATGACTGACAGAGAAAAAGTACGAAGGTATATCATCTTTCTGAGAACGTGCTCTGATTCCTTCTGTGTTTTCAGTGTTCCTGCTTCAAGAACATACAACGCAGTTAACGATAATAGGTGACAGTAGATCATGTTTCCCTAAGCAGCTTAGAATTGTAGACTTGGAAGAGACCCCTGAATCCAACTTTCTGCTCCAGGCATCTCTCCAAATTGAACTTTGGCAGGCTGATGCCTTTCTAGCCTCCACTTGAGCCCATCCATCTCTAGGCCACAGGTTCTGGTGTTGAAATAATACTGCCTTGGTTCTTGCTCTTGTACATGCCCAGTCACACTGGGATATGGGATTGGATAGGGAAAGACCGAAAGATTCTCTGTCCTGTTCCAAAGGGTCAGCCAGAACTGAACCAGTCACATCAGCATAGGGCCTGGTTATTTGAGGGACCCCCTACCTACCTCCTGCAGGGTCAGCCTGGCTGGTTCGAACTGGCAGACTTGGTGCGCTCCAGGTCCCTTCAGTTAAATGATGTCGCCTACTGAGTCCCTGGAAGGGCACCTTCTCTGTTATGGCGCCTGCCCTCTGGAATGAGGTTCCCCCTGATATCCGTGTGGCTCCCACCCTGATGGCATTCAGGAAAGCCTTAAAGACTGGGCTCTTCTCCCAGGCCTGGCTAGGCTGGTTGCGGCCCCTGCT